GAGCCTCAGCGGACCGCAGGCGGAGCCCAGCACGGACGCCGCCATGACACCGACGCCGCGTGCCCTCCGACCCCGCCACGCCTCCGCAGGTCCACCCGCCCCGCTTTCGGCAGCGGGCAGGCGGCCGGGGTCGCAGCTTGGAGGGGAGCCAGGTGTCGCTGTGGTCCTCTGCATCTGGGCCGTCGCCGCGCTCTTCTGCCTCTTGGGTTCCAGAAACACCCCGCCTAAATCCGGCGGACCCCGCCCCGGCTCTCCGCCTTCCTTCCAGGTCCTTCTGAAAATGTATTTATCGAGGTAGGAGGATAGAGGATATGTTGTTTGACAGTTTACTAGCTTAACTTAAAACTCTTAAGTATTTATCACGTGGTATGTGAGCCTTCTTTGGTACTCTTACCCGCAGCCTTTCAAATATTAGAGCTGGGTCTAGTTGCCAAGACCTGCCCTGGTCCAAGCCATCCCTGCCTACATCTGAATCCCAGTGATACCTGCCTGCAGATTTGCCCGGACTATTCATGCGGTAACCAGACTGGTTCTTTCTAAAGTGTACATCTCATCATGATCCTTGCTTGTTTGACAGTCTTTACTGTGGATTGGATAACGCCCCTCCATGATATGGCCTCTGTTTACTTTTCAGCCTCAACCCTAGCTGTTTGCATTTGTGACTCCACCTCCTTAAACCCGAAGGAGTGTTCCCTGTTGCCTGGACCTACGAACTCTAGCCAGTTTACCCCGCTTTAGTTTTACTCCCTGAGAGCCTGTGCAGGACCTCAGTCCCTCCTGCATAATGTTCTCTTTTCCCTCTGGGCTTCTGTCCTTTAGTTGTGACAGACAAACACTAGTGTTTTCAGTACCACAATTTAAACCTGATCCATAAAAGTAAAAAAAAAAAAAAAATCACTCATCTACATCTCCAATTCTGATCTCCTGCCCAGCAGGACTTTTCCATCTAGACATCTTGCCATTACTTCAAAGTCTACCTGTCTAAAAACCAAATCAAATTACTGCCCTTCTTAGTCTCTTTATTTATCTGAACAGTATTCCCCCTCTCACAACCAGAGGAAACACTTTGGAGTCATCCTTCCCTTTTCCTTCTTCTATATCTAATGTAGTATAGTTGGTCAGGTCCATTAATTTTTTTTCCTTCATACTCACATCCATGGCTTCATAGCTGATGAGAAACCTGGACTCAGATCCTGACTCCACTTCCTATCTCTGTGACCTTGGGTGACAGATTTACCTTATCTTGTGCCTCAGATTCCTTCCCTACGAAATGGAAATAATAATAAATCCTACCTCATAAGGTTCTTATGAGAATTAAATAAGCTAATGCATTTAAGGCACCTAGGCAGTGTCTGGCCCATAAACAGCACTTAACACAAGTCAGCTATGTAGGGAAAATATTACAAAAGACTGTTTAAAAGGAGCAAAAAGGGATGTTTTGGTGGCTCAGTCCATTAGGTGTCCAACTCTTGATTTTAGCTCAGGTCATGATCTCAGGGTTGTGAGATAGAGCCCT